AATACCAAGGCAGAGCTCGGCTACCTGCGCATAAGATTTAAGAAATGCCTACTCAGTCTCTCCAAAAGAAAATCAATCTGGCCTTCATTATTTTTCTTACAAGAATTGCAAATGACATTCATTAGAAAAACCACTTTCTTTCAACTCCAAGGAGACTTTGAATTTTCCAATTGTACTTAAATATCACATCTCTAGTAATGGCTGTCCTAACAGAGAGCGCTTTCATTCTGAATAACATTCAAATAATTTTCAAAGGCTTTTATCTGCTAAAACTAATATGAAAAATGGAATTTTATTTAACAATTCATCTCTAAGTACCAAACCGGTACTTTCTCTGTGTCATCTGTGTATAGTATCATCTACAAATTTTGCCTTCAACCTTCATTTATTTTTATTATTATTTTAAAGAGATGTTGCCCAGGTTGAACTTGAACTCCTGGGCTCAAGCAATCCTCCTGCCTCAGATTTTGCAGTAGCTGAGACTATAGACATGTGTCACCGTGCTGGGCTCTGAACATTTAAACAGTTAATGATTTTCTGTTTTGAGTTTCAAGTGAAACAGAACTTGATAGCATGAAGAATTTAACAGTTTTACTGTTTTGTAGTAAAAATATGTTTGTCGTCACACAAATGTGTTCATATATACATACATACACATATGCACATGTATGTACATCAGATTACATGTGTATTACATGCTACACAGGTTGAGAGTGTGATTTCTGGAACCAGACTGTCAGGATCTGAATCCCCTCTCCTGTGACCTCTTTCATCATGTACTTCACCTCTCTGCTTCTCATTTCATCCCTGTAAAATGGGAACAGTAATACTACCCACCTCACAGAGTTGTTGTGATGATTAAATGGGTAAATGGCTTATTTAATTAATTTATTTATTTATTTTTGAGACAGAGTCTCAAGCTGTTGCCCTGGGTAGAGTGCCATGGAATCATAGCTCACATCAACTTCCAACTCTTGGGCTCAAGCTATCCTCTTGCCTCAGTTTTTCTATTTTTATGAAAGATGGATTCTTGCTTTTGCTCAGGCTGGTCTCGAACTCATGAGCTTAGGCAATCCACCTACCTCGGCCTCCCAGAGTGCTAGGATTATAGGCATGAGCCACCACACCTGGCCATAAATGACATTATTTAGTGCTTGAAACACAGCCTGTTACATAGCAAGTGCTCAGTAAGTATTAGCCATTTTTCTTAGAAATAGTCCAAACAGTCCAGTTTTTATAAAAAATGAGTTACCTGCAAACAGGAAACTTGTACATTTTTGGTTTATTTTACACAGTGTGCCCATTAGCAATGGTAATAGCATTATGCTATTGCTTACTCTTATTGGAGAGTGTGAAGTCACTTGGCTGCCACCGTCTTGGCTTTTGTAACTTTGTGGGCAAAGTCCATATCTGCAGTGGCGTTAGTCATGCAAGTGGACTTTTCTCCTTCTGAAGCCTTCCTCCCATTAGAGAGCGAGTCAGATCAGCACAGACAAAGCTGCTGCAGCTAGAGCTGCTTCTGACCTCACTGGCCGTGGTGGTGGGGCTTTGCTCTACCTTGAGAATTCTTCTTTTCATTATTAGTGCCATTGGAATGAAAGAAAAAATGTGCAGTGTCTATGAGAGATACATACAGTCAGGCAGGGTCAAAATTTTGGAAAGAACAACAGAGGGAGGATGGTTTATGGATCTGCTTGCTGTGAAATCAAGAATAAGTGCTGGCCGATGATGGTAGGGATGGTGGAGAGTCTTTGCACAATTTTTTCTTAGATCTCAGAAGTTAAACACATATATTTATTATGGATTGATCGATTGATTGATTGATTGATTCAGACAAGTCTTACTCAATTGCCCTTGGTAGTAGGGTACCGTGGTGTCATAGTTCACAGCAACCCCAAACTCTTAGGCTCAAGAGATTCTCTGGCCTCAGCTTCCCAAGTATCTGGGACTATAGATGCTTGCCACAATACCACTATTTTTTAGAGACAGCATTTTCTCTTGCTTAGGCTGGTCTTAAATTTCAGAGCTCAAGTAATCCACCCACCTGGGTCTCCCAGTGTGCTGGGATTACAGGTGTGAGCCATCGTGCCTGGCACCTAAACACTCATCTTTAAATTTAAAGAAATCTGGATTCAGAAAAGAGTAATGGCTGAAGTGAAGGAAGCAGGGGAAATAAAAGGCTGACTGTGATGCAGGGAGGTCTCGGGCCATCGCTGCACCTAACACTCTGGGAATCATCTGTCCTCTCAAGCCAAGAAAGGCCTACACTAGGTCTTATGGTAGCCTGAGCTTCAGTCCACACCCCTCCATGTGGTCTTCAGGCAGCTCTGAGGAAAGTGTTTTCTAACACTTATACTCATGTGTTTTTTGTTTTTTGAGACAGAGCCTCAAGCTGTCACCCTGGGTAGAGTGCAGTGGCGCCACAGCTCACAGCAACCTCAAACTCTTGGGCTTAAGCCATTCTCTTTCCTGAGCCTCCCAGATAGCTGGAGTATAGGCACCCACCACAACACCCAGTTTTTTTGTTGTTGTTGCAGTTCTCATTGTTGTTGCAGTTCTCATTGTTGTTTTAGCTGGCTTGGGCTGGGTTTGAACTCATCAGCCTCAGTGTATGCGGCCGGCACCCCACTGACTGAGCTATGGGTGCCGTCGCTTACGCTCGTTTTTCATAGACTTTATTTTTAGAACAGTTTTAGATTCACAGAAAAACTGAGCAGATAGTACCCAGGGTTCCAATATATCTGGTGCCAACTTTCCCTGTTATTAACATCTTATATTAGCATGGTACATTTACTACAATCATAAGCCAAACTGGTACATTATTATTAACTAAAGTGCATCCTTTTTATCAATGGCCATGGTTTTTACCAAATGACCCTTTTCTGTTCCAAGATCCTATCCAGGATAACCCATTACATTGAGTTGTCGTGTCTCCTAGGTGCCCCTTGAATGTGGCAGTTTCTCAGACTTTTCCTTTGTTTCTGCTGACTGGGACAGTCTGGAAGAGCACTGGATAGATACTTTGTAGGATGCCCTGCTATTGAAATATTGTCTGATGTTTTTCTGGTGATAAGACTAGTGTTCGGGTTATCCAGAGTGAGACCACAGAGGTAAAGTGCCCTTTTCATCTTATCAAGAGTGCATACTGTCCACTTGCTTTTGTGGCTGTTGGTGTTGACCTTGATCACCTGGATGAGGTCCTGTTGTTATATCGACACACTGTAAGATGATTCTTTTTCTATTCCTTTCACTCCCTACTCTTTGGAAGACTCTTTGTATAGTCCATGTTTAGGGAATAGGGGCTTATGCTTTCTTTCCTTGAAGGCAGAGGATCTACATAAATTATTTGGAATTCTTTGTCATGGGAGATTTTCATAGTCATTTTTCAAGCTGAGATGATATAAAAGGAAATTGGCCAAAGAGAAATTTATGGTCCACAGATGTGTAGAGCTAAAGAGGAAGTATTGAAAACAACAAAGGAGAAAATGTTCTCATGAGAAATAACTTTTTTTCATCTACTTTTTGAGAATTACCTAAATAGACAGAAACAGAAATAATGTTTAAAATGTTTACTGCTGGGCGGCGCCTGTGGCTCAAAGGAGTAGGGCACCAGCCCCATGTGCCAGAGGTGGTGGGTTCAAACCCAGCCCGGCAAAGAAAAAAAAAATGTTTACTGCTACATTGTATATAATACTCAAGAAAGTAAGCAGAACATCCAAACAAATCACACAATACTCACATTAGGTCAAAATGTATAGAGGCATGTATTTTTTACATATATAATTATTATATGCATTTATATACATGTATATTTTTATATGTATAACTTTATATGTATCTATATAAAATGTACACATATATAAAATTATAGGCATAGAAATACAATAATGGTGTAGTGGCAAATGAATTAAAGCAGGTTACACAGCCAGATGCATAGTTATGATTGTTTCTTTACAAAACAAATGGATTACAGATACACACATGAGTATATGCATAACATATATATAATATCTAGAAGGCTAGTTAATACCAAAGAATTATTCTCATTATCTCCAGTTAGTAGGATTACATGTAATTTAGAATTTTTTTTTTTGGTTTCTTTTTTTTGAGAGACTCAAGCTGTCACCCTGGGTAGAATGCTGTGGCATCACAGCTCATAGCAACCTCCAACTCCTGGGCTCAAGAGATTCTCCTGCCTCAGCCTCCCAAGTAGCTGGGATCACAGGCACCCACCACAACGCCCGGCTATTTTTTGGTTGTAGTTGTCATTGTTGTTTGGCAGGCCCAGGCTGGATTCGAACCCTCCAGCTCTGGTGTATGTGGCTGGTGCCCTAGCTGCTTGAGCCACAGGCACTGAGCCAATATAATTCTTAAATGTAGTTGAATTAGCCTCAGTTTTATAGAAGAGGAAATGTAATCAGAGACATTGGGTATTCTCTCTGAGGTCACACTACTCACAAACAGCAGAGCCAGGATTCAAATCCAAGTCTGACTGACCCTACAATCCCATTAATTTTCTCTTTCAGCTGGTCCGTGTTAACTTCTGATTAGCAATTACACCCCTCTGACCTTATTCTTTTACTCTGCACCACCTCCCAAGTCCCCAGCACGAAGGTCCAGTTATAATTCTTTATTCTGACTGTTTCTATCACACATTCCATCTTTTACCCCTCCCTCCACAGCAGGGGTCCTCAAACTTTTTAAACAGGGGGCTAGTTCACTGTCCCTCAGACCGTTGGAGGGCTGGACTACGGGCCCTGGGACAAGTTGGCTGCTAAGCAGGACAGTCAGTGGCGGCAAAAACACCCAGCAGGCCAGATAAATGTCCTAGGCAGGCCACATGTGGCCTGCAGGCCGTAGTTTGAGGACGCCTGCTCCACAGTATACTATTCTCATGTAGGGAGGAAGGCCACAAAGCTCAGGACTTCTACTACATAGCAACAACTCAGACCACAGTACAACTGACGCTGAACCTGGCCTCATTTCATCATTTGGCCTCCTTAGTGCTCTGATGTCCATACCTCCAGCTCCTTCTTCAGCTGGGCCTGCAGTTCCTCCATCCCTGGAGGGAACACTAGGCGTTCAGGAAGGTGAGTGGAGCGCCTCAACAGCATGGGGTTGGCTCCATTGAGAAACTGGTACCCAAATATGGCATCTTCCTTCCAGGAGTCCCGCACTCGCTCTGGGAAGGCAGTTGTTGAGCGCCAAACCATCCCTACTTGACCCCAAACTACCAGATGATCTCAAGCCTCTGGTCTCCCAACCCTAGTTCTTTCAATTTCCCCAAGTTGTGTGGGATCTGGGAATAAAGGGTCTGGGAGAAACACTCAGGTGAGGGGACTAACCAGCCAGCTTGCTCTGCCCACACCAGAAAATCCGCTTGAAGTCATCCAGATCATTCCAGCAAGTCAGAACATTTAAAGAGTCTTTGATAGCAAGGTCTGCCAGCCTTCAGAGAAGCATGGGGCAAAGAGTTGGGGTCTTATTCTGGGACTCAAACATTACCTGGTATAGCCCCCAAGCCACTGGCCTCCGCCTCCCCCAGTCCCTCTTGCTCTCACCCTTTGGCCAGTGAAGCCTCAAAGTCAATTCTCTTGTCCTCCAGAAATCGCTCATCTACAGGGAGGTCACATATTGTGGCCCCGGTCATATTCAGGATTAGCCCGTCCTTCCAGTTACCCCACCTGCAGGGCAGAAATGGAATCAGCACAGGTATTTCTGAAGGGCCAGCAGCTCACGGTGGGATCAGGGGACAAGGGCTAACCGGTACAGCTTCCTTCTCTCTTTCAGTTCCTCTTCCCTGTATTTCTTAAAGAAGTCTTGAGGGTCGTCGAGCACAGTGCGACCTGGAAGCACAGAGGGGCGCGTGGGCAATGACTTTCCTAAGCCCCCTCTCCTGGTCCCTGCGCGGGGACACTCCTCTGCGGGCCCTTCTCGCTGGCCCCTCTCCAGCCTCCATGCCCCTCTGCCAGCGCCAGTAACCCCAAGGAACGCCTGCCCTCCAGCTTCCAGTCTCCAAGCCCTACCACCTCTGCACACACACACGCCCCGCCCTCTTTGGCGCCCCAGAGGCCACCTCACGCTGCCACCCCTGCACTCACCGGTGCCCTCTGGTATGCTCAGAACGCCGTTGCCCTCCACCCAGCGGTAACAAGGGAACCTGTACTCATCCCCGCTGTCCCCGGGACCCTGCACCGCGATCCAGTTGCAGTACCAGGCGTCATCCTGAAGGAGGTGCCGTTTGCGCAGCTTCACAAACAGCAGCGGCCCCAAGTACTCCTGCACATCCACCTTGAATTCCGCCTCCTGCAGACACAGCGCAGGCTCAGCGCGGTGGAGCCTGCCCGCGAGTGCTGCCACACAGCCCTGCTCTTCACCACCACCACCTCGCCCCCACTCCCGCCGCCCTCCTCTGAGCTTCGGGGAAAGCGGTGGGGAGCCACAAAGGGAAAGGGAGCGTGCACCAGCAGGGGGCCCAGGACCCCATTCTGAGGGTGTGGGATGGATGATAGAAGAGTGCGTCTTCTTTCGCTCTTTTCTTCCTATAAGCATTGACGAGCACATAGCGGAGCCAGGAGACAAGCTGATGACAAGCAATTGCAGCTTGCGAGACCCGCCAAGGCTGAGGGCTAACAGACTGCCCACCTGGCCTGGGGGTGGACTTCTCGAAAGACATTCCATTTAAGTTGGGACCAGGAGGTGGAGAGGGCTGTAACCCGGGAGAGTGAGAAAGGGGGAAAGGTGGGGAAAGGACCGAGGAAACAGAGAGAGGCTAAGGGAGGGCGTCCTGGAGCTGAAGTTCAAAGCCAGGTATGGGGAGAACAGGACCAGTGGGTCTTAAAGGTTACCGCGGGCTTTGGATTTGGTCCTGAGAACAAGTGGGGGGCATTCAAATGTTTTAAGCAAGGAGAACGTTTTAAGGATAGGAATGTATTGGGGAGAATTTGTTCTGCCTTCAGAAGGGCTTGAAAGGTCTGGAGCACAGATGGTGAGGCCGGTTAAGAGGGTAAAGATGACGCAGGCTCAAGGGGACATTGGTGGTCAGGAGTGAGGCAGACGTTAAAACACGGATGCTTGAGATGCCCAGGATAAAATTGACTGTGCTCCATTCTTGGTTAGACAGAGGCCGCGCCAGGGAGACAGCAGGAGAGGTCTGGGAAGTGGGAAAGGGGAAGGACCTCTTTGGGGGATGTTCCTTTGAAGTACCCTTGGGACAGACATCCAAATATGAGAGAAAGCTGGACAGGTGATGGGAATTTAGAGGTTGGTGGAAGAAAAAAGTAATAGCTCTGGGTAGAACACCAGATGGTTATGATGGGAAAGGGCAAGTGGGTCAAAATTTCTAAAGGTTGTCATGTCTTGGCTTCCTTCTCCCACCCCTCTCCGATTTCAGCTCACCACCCACTCCATCCCAAGTGATAATGCCCCCCAGATGGGAGCACAATCGTAGAGAATGTTAGAAATAGTTTTTAAAATATGCCAGGAGCGGTGGCTTGCACATATAATACTAGCGCTCTGGGAGGCAGAGGCGAGAGGATCCTTTGAGCTCAGGAGTTCCAGACTCCGTCTCTGCTAAAAATAGAAAATCTAGCTGGGCGACGTGGAGGGCGCCTGTATCCCCAGCTACATGGGAGGCTGAGGCAGAAGGATCGCTTGAGCCCAGGAGTTTGAGGTTGCCGTGAGTGAGGCTGAGGCCATGGCACTCTAGCCTGGGCAATAGAGCGAGACTCTCTTTCAAAAACAAACAAAATAAAATAAAACAAACAAACAACAACAACAAAAAAAACCCGAAC